CACACACACACACACATTTCCATCCTGTGGTAGGAGCAAATCAGTTTTCTTGAAAGCAGGGTAAGCCAGTGCAATGAGTATAGACAACGGAAAAGTTTTACTTGACGAAAGTAAGAAAGTAGGGTTGTCACAGAGAAGTGTCACCACTGAGAAAGGTCCATGTCTCAGGCACCCCTCAGTGGAACATCAAATCCGGAGACCAAATATGAAAACCTTTTGGAGAAACGGTGAAATTTTTTTAAGTGGACCCCGCCTGATTCTTTTAGAAATTGACCCTTCTGGAACTTGCCAACCTGCAGGAAATGATTAAAATACCCCAAATTTAACAATTCCATTCCAGATTCCTCCCTGCTTTTGAGTGATCCAGCAGTTTGGGCCTGTATTTCTCATTATGTCTGACCATACCACAGAGAAACAACCATACCCTTGAGGCCACAAGGGCATGGGGAGGAGGAAGAGAAACATCTCAGGAAGTTTTGCAAACTTGTGGTATGGCAGCTACAAGACTAAGACTATGGCTTAAGTCCTGGGCCCATAAGCTAAGAAAAAAGGTGTCCTTACTATTGTACTGCGGAATGAAAAGAGTTCAGAGCTAAGTCCCCTCTACCTTTCCAACTCTGTCTTATATCTCCCTTACCTGAGTGCCCGTCACTAAGTTTTCTGCTCACTTGACCCTTGACAAACACCACCTCATTACATCTTCTGCATTATTGCCCTTTTCACTTGAGAATGCCATGTGTCTACAACAAAATTCTGAACACCCTAAGATTTGAGATCCAGGACCATTCATTCATTTATTCAGCAAATATCCATTGATCATGTATAATGTGCCAGGCACTGTCCTGGGTCCCTGGAATACATCAGAGAGCACTAGAGACAAAGCTCTCTGTCTAGTGGGGAAGGGCAGAGGGAGAGAAAGCAGACAAGAAACAAGAAACATAACAAATGAGTTACACACTATGTCAAAAGGTAATATATGCTACAGAAAAAAGAGAGCCAAGTAAGACGACTTGGTACTACTTGAGTGAGTGTAATATAAACAGAGATGCATTGAGAAGGTAGCGTTTGAGGAGAGATTTTTGAAGCTGACTGCGAGGCTACTGGGGGAAGAACATACCAACCAGAGGGCCCCAGGGCTCAGACCTCAAAACCAGAGACACTCAGTGTGTTCCAGAAGAGCAGGAAAGCTGGTGGTCTGTCAATGGAAGAGATCCAGGGAGGCGAGTGGGAGATGGTGAGGTCATGGGGATGGAGACTGGAGGGTCTTGTGAGAACTTTGGCTTTTGCACAGAGGAGCACCATGAGCTGACTTGGATTTGAAAGATCACTCTGGCTGCTGGAAGAGCCCGTGGGAAGACAGGGATGGAAGGACTGTGACTGGTTAGGAGGGTTATGGCAATATTTCAGGCAAAAGATGATGCTGGCTTGACTCAGCAGGGAGCAGTGGAGATGAGAGAAGCAGTCAGAGTTGGATATACCATGAAGGCAAAGCCAGTGGATTTCCTGAAGCATTGGATGTAGGGCTTGAGAAGGGAGGCATCCAGCGTAGTCCCATGGGCTTCAGCCTAAGTACCTGAAAGAATGGAGTTGCCCTCAATGGACAGGGGGAAGACTGAAGGAGCAGATCTGGGGTGGAGGAGGAAAATCAGGAGGTCAGTTTTGTGGTCGACTAGTTGTGTGGCCTTGACCAACGTGTTTATAGCCCCTTTGTGCATCAATTTCCTAATCTGTAAAATTAGAATAATAATACTTTATCTCTCTTTGCTGCATTGTGAATATTAAATGGAATGGTAGATGGTAAGTGCTTGGTAGAAGGTCTGGTAGGAAGTAAGTGCTTAATAAATGTTAGCAGCTATCATAGTAGAAGCGTAGTCAAAATTATTAAACTAACTGGAAATTGTTTCCGGAGAGTTGGTTCCCACTTCAGAGGCCTGTTATAATAAAAGGAGTCTCCTGAGATAAGATGGATCCCTAGGGGTCCATGTCTGTCACTCAGCCAAGCGCAGGTGATTGAAAGGAGGCAGACAAGATGGTCAAAATCATCTAGGGGAAAAAAATGGGTCTATAGTCAAACAGAAAATCCCAATCTTCAATAGGACCCTCCACAGAAGCTCAAATTTAAAAGACCGAAGCCATCACTGGACAAAATAGAGATGCAAGTGGAATGTGTGGCCATCCAGGATATGACGTAAGGTCTTGGACTTGCGTTTGTTTCTTCGGCAGCTGGTTTGGAGGACAAGGTTTTTAGATCAGAAGTGATCCCCTGGGTCTGAGTAAAGGGTTTAGGCTTGTCAATGCCAGTCACAGCCTGCCCCGTCCATCACCTGGAAGCAAAAATAATTTTAAAATATGTAGTTGAGACTTTTCTTTCCTCGCTTTATTTGGTGCCCATTTGGACAACCATGCCATAGCTTTCAAGATCCACAATGAATAACTATTGTCCCTGCCAGGAGCAGAAATTCCATGAAGTTTTACAGGAAAGAGTTTTTTCCATCCAAGAGCTAAAAGATTCCTATACAAATGGTAAACTTTGTGAGCTCCAGGACTCCTGGACTCTAGAAAAAGGTCAAACATCCAAAGTCCTTTCACCAGCATATGTAAATACATCCCATCTTTAGCGTCTCCACTGGCCTCCCTCTTCTTCCCCAGCCTCTAGCCACAGCTGGGAACATCACGACTATGGTGCTGCCTTAGGGGAAATGCTTAAAAGAAGTTTGTCTTTTTGAAAGCAAAGCAAGCAGATGTTAGCACCTTAAAGAATTTTTCATGAAAGATGGTCTTCTTTTACATAAATCCCTTCCAATTTTATAATTTCCCAACCAAAGTGTATAAAAATCAAGAGAATCTCTCAGCAAGTATTTCTTGAAGTCCTACTGTGTCATCACCATTCCATTTACATTTTACAAAGTTGTTACCCGTCAGGAGCGTAAAATCCACTTGGAGAAAGAGCTCAACAAACATATAAAGGACCGTGTAAATAAAGAACGAGATGGTGGGAGCCAGGTGTAAATGCTGTAGGATTTCAGAATGGGGAAGAAGGAGCGAATTCAGGAAGAGACAGGAGGGCTTCATGGAGGAGACAGCCCAAGTGGTGATTTGAAAAATGATAATTTCAGGTGAAGAGGCAGGAAGAGACTGTCGGCTAAAGAGAAACCAACCCGAGGAAAGACTAGGTATGCCTGAGAGCACAGTTAATTCATGGTCCCTCCCGGGAACCATAACTTTTTTTTTCTTTTCCTCTCATCTTGTTTCAGTTTCTGGTGCCTTCTTAATTTGGGGCCATTTCTCAGGTTGGCAACTACTCTCTGAGGATGCACACTCTGTGCCCTCGATCACCCTGTATGTAACAATGAGGCCCAGCTGATACCCTTCCCTATTAATTATGATCAGGATTTGATTGATATTGGTTTCCACTGGATTAGAGAATCACCATCTTTGAGAAAAGGAAAGAGACCTGAAGTTTGACATAAGGTTCTAAACTCAACATTGAATCAGTGGAGAACCCTGTCTTTCCCCTACTGCTTTATATGAAAAGCAGCCGGGCTACATGTG